GTCTTTCAGTGGAAGTGTTTACAGTGTTCAAGAGGCTTGAGATTGTTGAAAGGTTGAAGTGTCATTTTACTGTTACAGTAGTGTTCAGGTCACTGGTCTCTAGTACTCCCCTGAAAATAGACTCCTGTCTGTAAAAAAATCACTGTTAAAAGCTAGATGTACTATGAACTTACAGTAATTTTCGGTTACTATCTAAGAGTTTCCTGGTAGAGTTCTTTGGGTCAGTTATGTAAACTATCATATCATCTGCAAACAGTGAAAGTTTTACCTCTTCCTTTCCAATTTGTATCCCCTTGATCTCCTTTTGTTGTCTTATTGCTCTAGCTACAACTTTTAGTACAATATTGAAGAGGTATGGGGAGAGGGGGCAGCCTTGTCTTGTTCCTGATTTTAGCAGAATTGCATTGGGTTTCTGTCCATTTAGTTTGATGTTGGCTGTTGATTGGCTGTATATAGCTTTTATCATGTTTAGGTATGTTCCTGTTATCCGGGATCTCTCCAAGACCTTTACCAAGAAGCCAAAGATAGAATGGGAAGAAAGAAAGAGTCAGACAACCTAAATGGATTCCAGGTTTTGGGAGGTTATAGACTCTGTAAACCAAGGTAAAGTTATTCCAAAGGAAAATGAAATAGAAATTATTGGAGAAAGAAACAGGAAAGGGGAGAGGATGTCAGGTCACAGAATTGCTCCATCGGTGAGCAATGGTTGTGTCAAGTCACAGATGGCAATCATGCTCTCTTAATGTCCAGGAGTGCAGTTGACTACTGGCCCAGCCCTGGGCTGTCCTTCCTAACACTGAGCATGCTACATGTTGATATTCTGCAGATACTTTGTCTCTGAGCACATTTCTACCTTTCTGCTTACTGTGCAGGTGTGCTTCACAATTTCTTCTTGTAGACTAGAGGTATTTGCTAGTGAGGTTTCAGCGTATTATACTATGACATGGGCTTTGACTTTCCTGGCGGCATGGTTTACGGCTTTATGGCTTCATGGCTTGAGACCCACCAGTGATCTCTTTTTTTTGTAGTAAAAGATGCATAGATGAAATTATGATTTGTATAGGATTTACCTCAAAAGAAATAAACGTGTAGTCATGGAAGATATTGTTGAAAAAATGCTTTCTTTTTTTTTTTTTTTTTTTTTTTTTTTTTTGGTTTTACGAGACAGGGTTTCTCTGTTTTGGAGGCTGTCGGTCCAGCCTGGCCTCGAACTCACAGAGATCCGCCTGCCTCTGCCTCCCGAGTGCTGGGATTAAAGGCGTGCGCCACCAACGCCCGGCCGAAAAAATGCTTTCTACGCAAGCATTAAGCTCTGACTTCAGTTCCTAGAACCCAAGTTAAAAAAAGCCAAGTGTTTGGTGCATACTTGTATCCTAACACTGACTGAGGAGGTGGAAACAGGCGGGTCTTTAGGACTCGCTGAGCTAGACTAGCATAATCTGGGAGTTTCAGGCTGATGAAAGAACCTGTGTCAAAACACAAGGTAGATGATGACTCTCGGGGTGGTTTGAGTGAGAATGGCCCTCATATGCTCATATGTTTGAATACTTGCTCCCTAGTTGGAGGAACTATTTGGGAAGAATTTGGAGGTGTGTCCTTGTTGGACAAGGTGTATCACTAGGGGTGGACCTTGAGGTTTCATACATTCCTGTTGTCTCTTTCTGCCTCGTGCTTCTTATGTATGGAGCTGTGATCACTCAGCTACTACTTTGGTGCCATGCCTGCCTGTCTGCTGTCATGCTTGCTGCCATGATAGTTACAGACTCTAACCCTCTGGAGCCATGAACCCCAAATTAAACAGTTTTTTTATAAGTTGCCTTGGTCATGCTGTTTTATCACAGCAATAGAAAAGTAATGACTATAACTCTCAAGGAAGGATAGCTGAAGTTGACCTCTGGTCTCTGCATATGTGTATACACCCATGCTTGTGTACCTGTTTATCCCCACTAAAATAGTAGTAAATATGGAATGTGGGTTTGTGTATAAGAAAAGAACAATTATTAATTGGTGGTTGTTAGGGCTGGTTGATGAAATATACAGGACTCAGTATACTTTGTGAATGTAAAAATCTTAGTATATTTAATAGTGTCTTGGTTTTCTATTGTCGTGATAAAATACCATGACGAAACGAAATGTGGGGTAGAAAAGGTTTATTTTGTTATACTTCCACATAGGAATCCATCAAAAGAAACCAGGGCAGGACCCTGGAGGTGGGAACTGAAGCAGAGGCCATGGAGGAATGCTGCTTACTGGATTGCTCCTCATGGCCTGCTCAGCCTGCTTTCTTAGACCTACCTACACTGTTGATCCCACCCTCAGGGGCTGGGCCCTCCAACATCAATCTTTAATCAAGAAAATGCCCAACAGATTTGCCTTTAGGCCAAGTTTTTGGGAGGTATTGTCTCAATTGAGAGCCCTTCCCAGATGACTGTGTCTTGTACCAAGTTGACATAGAGAAATAAAGTTTATCTTATATTTCAGGGTCAGAAGGTAACTGTTAGAATGGAAGGAAACTCACTTGCTTTATTTTCTTGGCATTTAAGTTTTGAAAATTTGGTAAAGCCAAATTAATATAGATTACTAAGTTCTAGAATATCGTCTTTTTTTTTTTTTTTAAGGTAGTTATGCTTCCAGCACTAAGGAGGCAGAGGCCTCTGTGAGTTTGAGGCCAGCCTGGTCTACAAAGCTACACAGAGAAACCCTGTTTCAAAAAAAACCTAAAAAACCCCAGTATTTATGCCCACTGGGACCATGTTGATGCCCAGGGGCCATGCTGAAGCTGGGCTGTGGTGATCTGAGGGGCCTGTGCGTAAGCTGTTGCTAAGGGCCATGTCTGGGCCCATGGTCCTGCTGTTATTGGGTAATGTCCATTGTAGTAATGTCCATGGCCCATGATAGCAAGGGTTCTTTGGAACTGTGCTGTTCTGAGCCAGCCCCATTCTTCACTGGCCCTGGGATGATTGGTTCTGCCCCTCCCTGGATATAACAGCAGGCAAACTGGCCCTATCCCCCCCAGTGGAGAGTTTGTCCACACACTTGGGAAGGATGGTCCCACCCCTCACCATAAGCGTGCACCTCACCTGGGAAGCACACTAGAGCTGACCCTGGGGTCGGGTACACAAGTGACCCAACACTAAGGATGAGAGCAGGAGAGCTGAACTCCACCCCTCCCACACACACCCTGGGTGGTCTGCCATATGGTGGCATAGCTTAAGGAAAGATGCCCTCCTCCCTCTGCCCCTTGCTATCTATGACAGGCGGGAGAGCTGGCCCCGGGATAATAAGAGTGAGAGAACTAGCCCTGCCTTACAGCAACTCCAGCACACAGCAGTGTGGGCCCTGCACCCTACCCTGACAGCACACTAGAGCTGACCCTGTTGTCAGGGTTGCAGGTGAGCCAGCCCTGAGGGTGTAAGAGCAGGAGAGCTGACACCCCCTTGATAGGCCCCCTGCAGCAATTGGGAGAGAGGGCCTTGCATCTTGCTTGGGCAGAACAGTAGAACTAGCCCTGGTGACAGCCGTGAAGATGACCCAGGCTGAGGGCCTGAGAGCAGAACTGGCCCCACTCCTTGGTGTAGGGTGCGTTTAATGAGCTAGTCAAGGCAGTGCTAGAGAGCTAATCTGGGTAATGACAATGAGGGAAAACTAGTGAGCTGACCAACCTAGCTCAGGGCTACTAGATGGCCCACCCCAATATCCACCCCATCTATGAACTGTTGGAGAATGTGAAGGCAATGAACCCAGAGATCCAAAACGGCAGGATCTCCATGACATGGGACAATGACAGGATGTCTGGAAGGAGCCCCAGTGAGAGCCCATTATTGGTGGTATAGCAGAAACCAGAGGCCTCAAGCCAGATCTAAGACTCAGGGCAATGAAAACTTGCAAACAAAGATGAAGGCCACACTATAGCCTTCACAAGGTTGTTGTCCTTTTTTTATTTTTGTTTTTTTATTTGTTGGTTTTTTTTTTTTTGAGACAGGGTTTCTCTGTGGCTTTGGAGGCTGTCCTGGAACTCACTTTGTAGACCAGGCTGGCCTCGAACTCACAGAGATCCGCCTGCCTCTGCCTCCCGAGTGCTGGGATTAAAGGCGTGCGCCACCAACGCCCGGCCTCTTTGTTGGTTTTTTATTTTTCTTTTAAACTTGGTTTTGTTTTGGGGGACAGTACAAGAGCAGAGGGCAGATGCACTGGGCAAGAAGATAAATTATATTGGAATGCATGGTGTGAAATCCACTAAAAATCAATAAAAAGTAGATTTAGTCCTTTTATTTCAAGTGAGTGTTTTGCCTGCATGTTTGTGTGTGTGCACCATGTGTGTAAAGAGGGCACTGTTTCCAAGATCTGTATTTACTTAAATGGTACGAACCATCATATGGGTCCTAGGAATAGATCCCAGGTCCCCTGGAAGAGCAGTGAGTGTTCTTAACCACTGAGGTAGCTCTATAACATTTTCTTAGAAAGCAAGTATAACAGTGTCTGTTTATGGTATGTCTATCAACTAATCAACACTGTAGGTGCCTCAGGAGCTATTTGGTTATTTGTGCAAGTAGTTTTTTACTAAGTGCTTTTATCCTACATGAGAAATGTGCTTTCTTATGAGCTCTTCTCTATTCATCAGAATCTAGTGGTATCCAGTCTTTGGGCATTGTGGTATGAGGTGGTAATCTATGTAATGTTGGATTTCATTCCTGGTTATACCAAGGTACATGTAGCCAGTGGTCTGTGGGTTGCTTATGTCTGAAAGTGGTCCTGAATCTACTTTCTAGGATTAGTATTTAATGCGAATTAAACCTTCATAATGATGTAATTCTTTAATACAGTTCCTCATGTTGTGGTGACCCCCAACCATAAAATTATTTTGTTGCTATTTCATAACTAATTTGCTGCTATTATGAATTGTCAATATCTGATCTGCAGGATATCTGATATGAGACCCTGGCTGAGAACCACTGACTTAGGTGCTTTTGGAGCTAATTCACTTTTGTGTTCTTTTGTAGCTTTCTGTTCAAAATCAGGAGTTTGAGACAAATGAAGATGGAATGCCAAAAGTGGATCAGTTTCATTTGGTAGGTTTCTTTTGGCTCTTTACTCATTTCAGATATATAATAATATAAATTTATAAATATTTGATTGAAAATATTCTCTAATTTTTATAAAAATTTAAGCTAGCATTAGAAGTACCCTACTTATGCTACTGTCAGATAATTAACAAGTCATCTATGTAATAAGAAAATACTATAGTAGAGTTCTAACGATATTTTGTTTTGAAAGGAGTGTTTTATTCTTTTTTTGGGTAAGTGCCTAATTATGTCTTTTCTTTGAAACTCATACTTGTCATTGATATGGCTTTGTCATTCACATATGTTTTCAGCTAACTTATTTTGAGCACTTATCTGGTACCAGAAATTAAACTAAGTACTAGGGCTACCAGGATTGGAGTAGGAAGTGAAATTAGTAATATAATCTTGCTCAGGCTCTTTTTCTTGACTAACTACAATTGTTTTTTTAAAAATCTGCTTTGCTTTTTACTCTCTTGCATTGTAGATGTGGATGAGAAAAGTTACCAGTAGCCATTCCACAGATTGAACGCCCTTTGTTTTGAGATTTCCATGACCAATGCATTAGTGAATCATTCATCTATTCAGGTTCTCCTCACATTTGGGCTCTCAGGATACAGACAGACAGTACCAGACTTTTTTTCCTAGATTGTAACATGGATGACATTATCTTAGTTAAGGTTTCTATTGCTGTGAAGAGACACTGTGACCATGCCAACTCTTATAAGGAAAACATTTAATTGACGGTGACTTAAGTTTAAGAAGTTTAGTTCATTATCGTCATGGCATGTGGCGTGAAGCCAGATAGAATGCTGGAGAAGGAGCTGAGAGTTGTACATCTTGATCCACAGGTAACAGAAACTGTGTCCACACTGGGCACAGCTTGAACAAAGGAGGCCTTTGTGCCAGACCCCCACAATGACACACTTCCTTCAACAAGGTCACACCTACTGTAACAAAGACACGCCTTCTAATAGTGCTAGTCCCTATTGGGGGTCGTTTGCTTTCAAACCACCACAGGCATCTAGCTCACTTCACAGTAAGAATCCTGTTCCCTTCCCCTCTGAAACCACATGGACCAAACTGCCACTGCTCATTTTCCTTTTGGCAATCTTCTTAACTTCCAATAGAAGCCTAGTGTACCCTTCTTGCAGCACTCTAGGGGATTTGTTTGGGTTTTGTTTTCCAAGACATGGTTTCTCTGTAGCTTTGGAGCTTGTCCTAGAACTCGCTCTGTAGACCAGGCTTGCCTTCAACTCACAGTGATCTGCCTGCCTTTGCCTCCTGAGTGCTGAGATCAAAGATGTGTGATACCACCCCAGCCCCCTTTAGGGGATTTTAATACCAAGTTCTAAACTCTTCCTGCAAACCAGTTCCAGAGACCCAAGACTACAGTATCAGGTTTATCACAGCACTGACCCCTTCTTTCAGTACTGTTTTTCTCTATTTGGTTTTTTCATTGCTGTGATGAAATACGTGTTAAGAAGCAATTTAAAGAACAAAAGGTTCAGGAGGTGATTTTCAGTTGAAGTCTTTTTATCGTGGTTTGTTCATAGTTTGGCATTTTAATTTTCTTAATTAAATTTTTTCTTAAAATTTTAATGAGTCATCAAATTTAGTCAGATATGGCATGTCTTTCAGTAAAGCATCAATTTAAAATGGCTTTAAAAAGAGATAACCAACCTTAAAGTTTATCCACTGAGAGTATATAACTTAGTAGTTTTTAGTATAATCACATGTGTCTGAGCATCACCAGAAACTCAATATATTGTATTGCTACCTCTCAGTATTTGCATTTCTTTACTTCAGTCTTAACCAACCACTAATATGTTTTCTGTTTCTGTATAATTGCTATTGTGGGCATTCTTATGAATGGAATCATAATTAATGGGAACAGTGTATATTGCTTACACTTAGAATGCAAATTCTAGTACTAGTATTTCATCCCTTTCATGGATAAGTAATATTCTAGTGATAGATTTACCACAATTTACGGATACATATTTATTTATGGATGTCTGGGTTATATGTGCCTTTTGGTTATTATAGAAAGTGATACAAATATTTGTATATAGACATTTGAGCAGACATGTTTAATTTCTATTGGATGTATACCTAGCAGTAGAATTACTGATTCATGTAGAAACTGTTTATTTAGCAGTTGAAGACTCACTGGACTGCAAAGCAGTTATTTTACATTTGTAGTAGCAGTATGTGAAAACTCTAGCTTCCCTATATTAATACAGGCTGTAAGACTTTGATTCTAGCCATCTTATAGTCTTGACTTAGATTTGTGGTGCCTTCAGAGAAATGCCTATGCAGACTCTTAATTTTTTTTTTTACATTTTAAAAATTGGGTTGCATTTTTATTTTTGAATTTTAATGGATGATTGTATATTCTAGAAACAAACAACATGTTGGGCACATTGTTTGCAAATATTTTACCTCATCCTGTCAGTGGTATTCTCATTTTCTTGATAGTGTCATTTGAAACACAAGAGTTTGTAATTTTCACGAAGCGTAACTTTCTCGGTTGTTGCTTGTACTTTGGGGATTATTTTCAAGAGTTCTTTGTCAAATACAAAATTGTAAAGATTTACAGTTATGTAGTTTAAGATTTTATATTTAGATCTTTGATATATTTTGAATTAAATTCTCATATATTTTAAGAGGTAATATTCCAGCTTCAATATTCTGCCTGTGGCTATCTATCCCAATACTATTTATCGAAGACTGCTTTGTAAGCATAAAATGGTCATGTCATCCTTGTCAAAGCCAGTAGGTGATAGCTGGGTGGGTTTCTTTCTGGACTCTGAATTCTCTTCCACTGTCTTATAGGTGCTCCTCAATTATGATAGGATTATGTCTTTATAAACCCATTGTAAGTTTAAAATTCATATGGTCCACATTACCTGCAGAATTTATATCTTAGCACACAGTGCACTGCAGAACATTGCTTGATTATCTTGATCAAGCTGGTCTAGTGATCACATGCTGATTTAGAGTGCAGATCACTAAGGATGACCAGCATCAATGAGAGTATGAATCCATGTATTGCTGAAATACAAGACTATGTCTGTTCCTTTGCCAGTATTATGCTGTCTTAATTATTGCTATAGAGATTTGAAATTGGGAAATGTGAATTGTTATACTTTGTTCTTTTTAAATAGGGTCAAGATTATTATTCTGATCTGTAAAGTTCAGAGGTAGCTTACAATGTCTACAAAGAAGTTGGTTTATCTAATAGGACTGTTTTCGCTCTATGGCTGGTTATCAGTGTTGTTTTATGAACCATTAAATATTGGATGTTAATTTATTTATACCTTTGATTTCCTTCAACTATATCTTTTTTTCTTTTAATTTTAAATAGCTTGTTTTACATGTCAATCCCAGTTCCCTTTCCCTCCCCCTCCTCCCACACCCCCCAGCCTCCCACCCTATTGCCAAATCCTTCCACATAGGGGATATCTAGAGTCTGTCATTTCACTCAGGGTAGGGTCCAGGCACTCTCCTAAGAGTCCAGGCTGAGAGAGCATCCCTCTTTGTGTTATGGACACACGATGTCTGTTTGTATTCCAGGTATAAACACTGGTTCACTGCTCAGGGCCCCATAGGTTGTCCAGGCCTCCTCACTGACACTCACATTCGGGGGGGTCTGGATCAGTCCCATGCTGGCCTCCCAGCTGTCGGTCTGGGGTCCAAGAGCACTTCCCTGTTCAATCAGCTGTCTCTGCTGGTTTTGCCAGCCCATTCTTTGCCAATTTGCTCGTCGCTCCTCTCTCTCTGTCACTGGGTTCCTTGGGTTCAGTTCAGTGTTTAACTGTGGGTGTTTGCCTCTGCTTCCATCAGTCACTGGATGAAGGCTCCAGGAATGGGCATTTGAGGTGGTCTCTCCACTATTGCTTAGCTTGCCAATCAGTGTCATCCCTTTAGATCACTAGAGGTCACACTGGTGCCTGATCTGTCTTCTAACCTATGATTCCCTCTTCCCCCTATTCTCCCCCCCCCACTCAACCTTCCTGTTCCCCCATGACCTACTCTCTCTTCCTCTTCTCCCCTTCTCTTCTTCCCAGCTCCCATTCCCCCCCACCCCTTGCCATGTTCCCCATCTGTTCAGAGGATCTTGCCCCATTCCGCTTCTCTTGGGTACCATGCATATCTTTTAGGTTCTTTCCTGTTTCCCAGACTCTCTGTCAGTGGAAGTACAGACTGGCACTATCCTGATCCATGTCTAAAATCCATATATGAGTGAGTACATACCATGAGGTCTGGCAAGCTCACCTATATCTTGTAGTCTTCAAAATACATGATTTGTAACTATTTTGTTTCTTTATTCTTAACTATTAGTTCTAATAATTTTTAGTGGGTTTCTTAATGATTTAACATAGCTCTGTACCATTTCCAAATAAAGATGGTTTTACTTCTTCCCCTTTCTATTTGTTAATATTATTTTTAAAATTTTTTCTTAAGTGGTTGTGTTTCCCATAAAATGTTAGATAGTAGAGGTATGAAATTTTTCATGTGAAACTCTGACCACTGTCCCATTAAAGAAGGAAAATGGTGTTCAAATTTCATTCATTTTAGTTTAGCTATAATTCTCCCTGGTAAATAAATTCTAATTTGTTACTACTGGAGATATATCTCTTTTCAATGAAATGTAGCTGAACTTGGAAGGAATCTCTAAGAATCTAAATAGAAAAATATGTCAGTAACTAAAAGAGGTTTTTAACAATTGAATAGTCTATTATATATCTGTTCTTATTTACCATTAGTTTTGGTTTTGATTCTTTAAAAAAATTATTTCTCTTTTCTTGCAGGATGATAATGTCAAATCCCTCCTCTGTAGCTTGATATATTCCAGAAGTTCAATGACTGCTGAGAAAGTTTTGAATGCTGAATGTTTCTTGCTTCTAAAGGGGAAGTCAATTCCAAACCCAGAAAAAGAGACTGAGTATGCTCAGCAAAACAAAGAAGATGAATCAAAGATGGAGAGCTTAGATAGATATAAAGAAAGACAAGAAGTGGTGAAGCCAACCCTCGACTTGACAAATTAGTCTTCTATTGTTGCCATACTTGTCCCTTTAAAAATGTTCTGTTTCTTTGGTATACAAAAATGTGTGTAAATGTTTTGGAAATAGTTAATTGCATCTTTGTATTTGGATTGTAAAAAATAAAAATGTTTTGATTATGCATGAAACTCAGTTATAGTCCTTTTTTGAAATTATGAATGTATGTATGTATGTATCTATCTATCCATTTATTATGTACACAGTATTATGTCTACATGTATCCCTGCAGGCCAGAAGAGGGCACCAGATCTCATTACGGATAGTTATGATCCATCATGTGGTTCCTGGGAACTGAACTCGGCCTCTGGATGAGCAGCCAGTGCTCTTAACCTCTGAGCATCTCTCTAGTCCCCAACCATAGCCTTTGAAGTTTTGCCTAACTTGGCATTGTTTTAGAATGGGTTTCTGTTTGACTTACTGAAATTAGGTCATTATGATATTAGTGCAAGTCATCTGTTGATGGTTGTATGCTAGTTGGTAGTGATAAAGACATGTTTTGTATCTAGTTTTGGCAACATAAAGAAAAATTAAAATAGTTCTTATACTTGTATGGCCCACATTTTGAAAAATTTCAATGTTTAAAGAGATCAATGTTTAAATGTTTAAAGAGATCTCCATACTGCATTCAATGTTTAATGCTGTATGGAGATTTCCAGATATAGCTCTGGGATTTCTGGGCTTACAAAGGGGCACTTATTCTGTGGAGGAATGGTGTCACAGACTGCTTTCTAGAGTAGCTTATACCTTCCTTAAATCTCACTAATTTTTACTGTTTAAAAATTTATAATTCAGGGATAACAGGAACATACCTGAATATAATAAAAGCAATATAAAGTACACCAACAGCTAACATCAAACTAAATGGAGAGAAACTCAAAGCAATTCTTCTAAAATCAGGAACAAGACAAGGCCGTCCACTCTCTCCATATCTCTTCAATATTGTACTTGAAGTTCTAGCTACAGCAATAAGACAACAAAAGGAGATAAAGGGGATACAAATAGGAAAAGAAGAAGTCAAACTTTCACTATTTGCAGATGATATGATAGTTTACATAAGTGACCCAAAAAACTCCGCAAGGTTACTCCTAGAGCTGATAAACACCTTCAGCAATGAGGCAGGATACAAGGTAAACTCAAAAATATCAGTGGCCCTATTATATACAGATGATGAAGTGACTGAGAAAGAAATCAGAGAAACATCACCCTTTACAATAGCCAAAAACAGCATCAAATATCTGAGGATAATGTAAACCAAGGAAATTAAAGACCTGTATATCAAGAACTTTGTGTCTTTAAAGAAAGAAATCAAAGAAGATACCAGAAAATGGAAAGATCCCCCATGCTCTTGGATTGGTAGGATCAACATAATAAAAATGGCAATCTTGCCAAAAGCAGTCTACAGATTCAATGCAATCCCTATCAAAATTCCATCACAATTCTTCAAGGAACTGGAAAGAACATTAATCAACTTTATATGGAAAAACAAAAGGCCCAGGATAGTTAAAACATCCCTATACAATAAAGGAACTTCAGGAGGCATCACCATACCTGACTTCAAGCTCTATTATAGAGCTATAGTCCTGAAAACAGCTTGGTATTGGCACAAAAATAGGCAGGTAGACCAATGGAACCGAATCGAAAGCTCTAATTTTAACCCACACACCTATGAACACTTGATTTTTGACAAAGAAACTAAAACTGTACAATGGAAAAAAGAAAGCATCTTCAACAAATGGTGCTGGCATAACTGGGTACTGGTATGCAGAAGACTGCAGATAGATCCATGTTTATCGCCTTGTACAAAACTTAAGTCCAAATGGATCAAAGATCTCAACATAAATCCAGCCACACTGAAACTTTTAGAAGAGAAAGTGGGAGATACTCTTCAACGAGTTGGTACAGGAGACGACTTCCTAAACATAACACCAGTGGCACAGGCACTGAGATCGACAATTAACAAATGGGACCTTCTGAAACTAAAAAGCTTCTGTAAGGCAAAGGACACAGTCAAAAAGACAAAAAGGCAGGCCACAGAATGGGAAAAGATATTCACTAACCCTACATCTGACAGAGGGCTAATCTCCAAAATTTACAAAGAACTCAAGAAACAATTCTCCAAAACACCAAAGGATCCAATTAAAAGGTGGGGTACAGAGCTAAATAGAGAATTCTCAGTAGAGGAGGCTAAAATGGCCAAGAGACACTTAAGAAAGTGCTCAACATCCTTAGCCATCAGGGAAATGCAAATCAAAACAACTCTGAGATACCATCTTACTCCTGTCAGAATGGCTAAAATCAAAAACACCGAAGACAATTTATGCTGGAGAGGATGTGGAGAGAGAGGAACACTCCTCCACTGCTGGTGGGAGTGCCGACTCATACAGCCTCTTTGGAAATCAGTATGGAGATTCCTCAGGAAAATGGGAATTAATCTACCACTAGACCCAGCAATTCCACTCTTAGGCATATATCCAAATGAGGCAAGTTCATACAACAAGGGCATCTGCTCCACTATGTTCATAGCAGCATTATTTGTAATAGCCAGAACCTGGAAGCAACCTAGATGCCCCTCAACTGAAGAGTGGATAGAGAAAATGTGGTACATTTACACAATGGAGTATTACTCAGCAGAAAAATACAATGGAATCTTGAAATTCGCAGGGAAATGGATAGCACTGGAAGAAACCATCCTGAGTGAGGTAACCCAGTCGCAAAAAGACAAACATGGTATGTACTCACTCATAAATGGATTTTAGACATGGATCAGGATAGTGCCAGTCTGCACTTCCACTGATAGAGAGTCTGGGAAACAGGAAAGAACCTAAAAGATATGCATATATGCATAGTACCCAAGAGAAGAGGATTGAGACAAGATCCCCTGAATGGATGGGGAACACGGCGAGGGGTGGGGGGAGTGGGAACTGGGAAGAAGAGAGGGGGAGAAGAGGAAGAGAGTTGGTCATGGGGGAACAGGAAGCTGAGGGGGTGGGGGTAGAATAGGGGGAAGAGGGAATCATAGGATCGAATACAGATCAGGTACCAGAGCGACCTCGAGTGATCTAAAGGGATAACACCAGTTGACAAGCTAAGCAATAGTGGAGAGACCACCTCGAATGCCCATTCCTGATAATGAACTTGATGTCTATAACCATCCGGGAGCCTTCATCCTGTGACTGATGGAAGCAGAGGCAAACACAATTAATCACTGAACTGAACCTAAGGAACCCAGTGACAGAGAGAGAGGAGTGATGAGCAAATTGGCAAAGAATGGGCTGGCAAAACCAGCAGAGACAGCTGATCTGAACAGGGGAGAGTTCTTGGACCCCAGACCAACAGTGGGGAGGCCAGCATGGGACTGATCTGGACCCCCCAAATGTGAGTGTCAGCGAGAAGGCCTGGGCAACCTATGGGGCCCTGAGCTGTGGATCAGTGTCTATCCCTGGTATACAAACAGTCTTCGTGTGCCTATAGCACAAAGAGGGATGCTCTCTCAGCCTGGACTCTTAAGGGAGTGCCTGGACCCTACCCAGAGTAAAATGACAGACTCTAGATATCCCCTATGTGGAAGGATTTGGCAATAGGGTGGGAGGGTGAGGAGGAAGGGAGTGCGGGAGGAGGGGAGGGAGAGGGAACTGGGATTGACATGTAAAACAAGCTATTTAAAATTAAAATAAAAATGATAAAAAATTTATAATTCAGTTTTTAGTGTGAGTGCAAGCGCAGAGGGTGTTGTGTTCATATGTATGCAGATGCAAGTGACGACCAGAGGACAACTTTGGATTTCATTCCTCAGGAGTGTTGCTCAGTTTATTTTGAGAGAGGGTTTCTCTCTTTGCCTTGGGGATCACCTATGTAGGCTAGATTGACTGACTAGGGTATTCTGGGGTCTGTCTGTCTCCCCCTTCCCAGCAATGGGATTACAAATGTGCACTATGCCTGACTTTTTATGTGGGTTCTGGTCATTGAACCCAGGTCCTCATTCTTTTTTTTCTCTCTCTTTTTTTATTTTAATTTTAAATACCTTGTTTTACATGTCAATCCCAGTTCCCTCTCCCTCCCCTCCTCCCACACTCACGGTGTCCCATATTTCCTGGATATTTTGTGTTAAGGATTTGTTGGTTTTGAGATTTTCTTTGGTTGATGACTCTATATCCTCTAATGAGTCTTCAACACCTGAGATTCTCTCAGGTGGTCTTCCTTGACTTTTGACTTTACAGCCTTTACAGTTCTTACTCCCTCTTTTGTAATGACCCCCTGATCCTTGAAGGGAGAGGGTGTCTGTAATACATATGCCCCATTTGTGAGCCAACATTCCACAGACTCTAATTGTCTGTACTTTGATCAGTTGTGTGTTTGTGTTAACCTGTGTCCACTGCATACGGAAACTTTCTGGTGCGCTCTGAGAGCTGCATTAATCTATGAGTATAGAGATGTGAATTTATAGGGCATTTCATACCATGTCCATTTCAAAATAGCAATAGGCTCACCCCTGGAATTTAGGAGCTTCATGGCTAAAGAGTTTTTGGCAGATTTATTAGTTACTCATTCCTTACTGTGGAACTGACCTTGAATCCAAATAGCCGATGGCTGTCTCCATAACATTCGTGCCACTATTGCACCTGTGGGCATATCTTTCCATTGTGGTAATTATTGTAGTTTACTGGGCTCATAAATGGGTAAGAATATTGATGATATTTCCCCTTACATAGCCTACATATAACTTTCCAATACTGTGAGAGCTAGCCAGGAAGAAGGAAGCTTCCTGGTTAGTATCAACTTAGTTTCTTCATGCCCTGCAACTAAGATGTGTTGTATCTTCAACAATAATAACATTTTATTATCAAGTTAATAGTGGTCGCCCAAGAGGAAAAACAATATCCTGTATATTTTTTGTCATCTCTATGACACTCCCGTGACCAACAACTTGAGGTGAGATATTCTATACCTCATACTGGTATCTTGTTGGTATCCTATGACTTCTGCAAGAGTATTATCTACTGTGAAAGTCAGTTGATACATTTGTATATATTTGTGTCTTTGTATGTATGTATGTATGTATGTATAAATTTAAGAAGCCTAGGAAATAATAGATATCTATATGACTTTTCTTTTTACATATTTTT